TCCCTTCTGAGGCAGAATCTGCAATGGGTGCAAGATCCCCAGGTAAATTAAATGTATGTTAATTTGTAGAGGTACTATAAGACCGAAGTCTGGCGACAGAAATAGAAACTGGTGTTTAAAAAAAGCAATAATTTCAGAAGTGCTGTAGCCAAGAATAAATACTGTGCTGCAATAATGGAATCTAATTTTGGCATAGAGATCTGCAGCGATTTCAAATCTACCCTCTTCTGTAATTGCTTTCCACCTAAATATGCTAGAAAAACAGTGCACCGTGGATATTACACTTTCAGTTCTCTCAACCAGTAACAGATTAGTGTAGCAGAGCCTTGGGAAGGTTACTTGGAATCCATGAAATTAGCATAACATATCAACATCTGTGGGGAAAATGTTGACTTGTTCACATAGTGTGTGAAAGACTATGAAGTGCTGAGACAAATATGTTCTGCTGAAGTCTGAGAGTCAAATAATTCTTTTTTAAAAAAGCATTTTATTTATTTTATGTGTGTGTGTGTGTGTGTGTGTGTGTGTGTGTGTGTGTGTGTGTGTGTGAACCTTAATATGTGTTGTGCACCACATGTTTGCAGGTTCCCATAGAGCCACCAAGAGGATATCAGATTCCCTGGAACTGGAATTCCAGGAAGTTGTCATCTGCTTGACATGGGTGCTGGGAATTGAACCTGGGTCCTCTTCAAGAACACCAAATGCTCTTCACCACTGAGCCATCTCTCCAGCCCCAAAACGTGACAAATATTTTTAAATATTGAACATTTTTTTCTTTAACGACAACATTAACATTCTTTAGAACTATTATTCCATGGAACACATTTTCCAGAAACGTCACATTTTAGAAGTTTTGCAAAATTTTGCTCATGAATTTTTTACTAGGTTCATTCTGCTCTCCATTAACTTCTGTGCTTTTTATAGTTATAAGGTATACTGAGTGATTCATTCTGGGGCACAGCTCTGACACAATATTTATAGCATAGCTATTCCAAGGTAAATGAATCCAGTTGTACTTTTAAAAATTATCCAGATCTGGATAGATAAAGTTGTCTTTGAACAAACAGTATGCTAAAATCTGGCCTCCACATATCATTGAAATTAAGCCGGAAACTGCAAGTAAATAAAAGGGAAGTTCTGGTTAACTGCCAGTAATGAATAATTCATTGGTAAGATTATGAATAAGAACAATTGCCATCACTAAAATAATGTTCCTGAAACTGACATAGCATTTGCAATGAAGTCATTTACAGAATCAGTGAAGAGAGAGTAGCATATATTCTGAGGCTGGTAAATCATTGAAATTTAGAACTTCCTTCGGGGAATAGGCACAAATCAATAGTAAGGAGCCCTTAAAACTCAGCAGTTCAGAGACAGGATGTCAGAGCTCTTGCCATAGAATTCACAATTCTTAATTCTTTCAGTTTTTCTGCCTGCCATGTGCTTGTGTTGTTACCATTTTCTTGTTGTTTTAGACAGGGTCATGCTATGTAGCCCACGATAGACCCACTAATCCCCAGTCCTCTGTCTTAGGGGTGCAACCTTTTAGGTTTTAGCAGACCTGGATGATAATTTTGTTTTGTGTTATTACGTCATGCTATGTAGCCCACGATAGACCCACTAATCCCCAGTCCTCTGTCTCAGGGGTGCAACCTTTTAGGTTTTAGCAGACCTGGCTGATAATTTTGTTTTGTGTTATTACTGTTACTACACACACACACACACACACACACACACACACACACACACACGCATGTAAGTGATCTTTTTTAATTATGGTAGGAAATAATCCACATTAACTTTAAATATGGGAAGAGTTTTTAAAGCCAGAATTTAACCTATCTGCAACTATTTGGTTTAATGAAAACAGTTTTAGTTCTTGTTTCATTTGCCTGGTCATTCTTGTTTGCTTTAAAATATAGATCCAACCACTATTGATCCAATTACAGAGTTCTCATAAATCTGCCGCTCCTGCTATGCCAGTAACAGCACAGTGCCTGTGACAGGTAAGCCACCCTGAGGAGAAGCCAAGAATATTATTGGCTTCCTCACACACAGACACATGTCCAATGAGAGACTCGGTGACAACCTTCCCAAGATACCTAGCCATTTTAGTCAGTTATCTACATTTTTTCCTTAAAGGAAATCGAAAATGACAGTGTTAGGGGTTATACTGTGACTGTTGTCTGAACCATCCCACTTATTAAAACAACCCTAGCTAGTAAAACTTAAACCCCTTTAACCAGTTTATTATGTCCAAAAGACAACTTTCTCTGGCATTGAGTTGGCATTCTCTGGGTGCAGGAGATGGCCAAGGCCTGGTACAGTAGACTCTGTGTGTTGAAGATGCAGCCAGAAGGAAATCATTGCTTTCACAGCATTATTTTCCTGTTCTGGGGATAACACACAGGCCGGGCTGGCACTCCACAATTGTGTCCATCCTTAACCTCTATGTACAGCACCCTACACCCCACCCCTTTCTTTTCATTTCAGCACCTTTTTTGAAGCTTATTAAAATTTACATCTTTGAAAGGCTTGTGTCAGATAAAACCTCAGTACTTTTTCTGTGTGTTATCTGAATGTACTAAACAATATTGCGAAAAAGTAGAAAGTTAAGACTTCAGCCTTACGGATATGAGAATAAGTAGTGAATACAGATAATACCGGCACTAGAGATAATTCACTGTTGTTGACAACAGCCGGCTGAAGTGAAAGAAAGCCTTGATTCCTTTTCTTTCTTATTTTCTAAAGATTCATTCATTTGTATTTCACGTGCATGGGCCTTTTGCCTGCATGTATGTCCTGTACCACATGCCTACAGTGCGCACAGAGGCCAGAGGAAGGCATTGGGGCATCAGGAACAGGAGTTACAGATGATTGTGAGCTGCCCTGTGGGTGCTGGGAACTGGACTCAGTCCTCTCAAGAGCAGCCAATGTGAAAGAGAGTAGTGAACACTGATAATACTGGCACTAGAGATATTCAGTGGCCATCCTGCCAGCCCATTGTGAACACTGATAATACTGGCACTAGAGATATTCAGTGGCCATCCTGCCAACCCATTGGTTAACTTTCTTACTACATACATGATCAGTGAATTCAGTTTCCTCTGTGAGCGGCAAAAATAGTCATAATGGCGCCATCACTACCATACTACTATCATGGAAATGTCATTTTTTAAGAGGACAGAGTGTGTCAAAAATACATGTCCAGGGTCTGATTATGTATAACCTTGGAATGATACTTATTGAGAAGTCCTCTGGACCACAACAAAATTATCTTTATTCTCCCTCTCTATGTACAAGTATATAATTACATAAATATTTATATAGAAGTGAAGTATCATGTGACATCATCATAGTAAGACATTTAATATTTGTAATAGTCTACGAAAACAATTATTTTCTTTTTTAACCCTCCCAGGGTGAAGATTCATCTCATTAACTCTCTCCGTATTTACACAACAAATATGTATTAACATTATTATGGGTCAGGTATCCTGCTGGGGGTTGTATCCTGAATATGCTATAAATAGCCCTTAAAAGTTGTTTCAAATACTTGAATATAAATAAATAAAGTCATCCTGTAATTTTCTTGTCAAAAGTGAAAATAGAAATTTGCTATTTTTCAACCAAGTTTTATTTCAAAGGTCCCATCTTGGATTCCATTTTGTCATTTGACTCGATAGGGAGAAACAGTTCTAGAGACAGGGAAGGCCTCCTAGAGCTGGTCCCAATGACCATCCTACCTTCCTTTTGGCTTCCCTGAACAATGGGTAATGCCTAGAGGTAGTGGCCTCCATACATTGTGTAAGCTCTGCTCTCTCTCCTGTGCATCCTCAGAGAGCTCTCTGCAGCATAGTCTGGGGTATCTATGTGAAGAGGCCTTTGATGGTGGGTGGTCTGCAGCATACAAAAAAATGTGACGCTTATAGGACTCACCGTGTGGGTGTGAAAACTCACTCATCTTACTGCATAAGCTTCATTTGCCACATTTGAAAAATTAGAATATAATACCCCCACAGAACTGTAGTAAAGGTTAGTGAGATACATAGAAAGGCCCAGGCTCATATTAAGTAATCAATAAACCTAACTATTTTAATTCTGTATGGGCCATTAAAACTGAGTAGCAATAACAGAATATGTTTGGGGTTTGCCTGCTGTTTGCAAAACAGATTGAAACTATTAGACAAGATTATTGCCAAATCAAGAAGAATAATATTTTTTACCAATTACATAATCTTTGTATTTGGAAGCCAAATACAACAGATTTATAAGTAAATAGTTTCCATACTTGACAAACACTGAAATCTGTTTGGAGATGCCTGGCTTTGCTTTATGTGGTCGCTTATTACCATAAACAAATGGTGGGGCTGCCACCCCCTTCTCCTTCCTGACTTTCTGATCATTCCATAATATAATTATAAGAAAGAAAACTGACACCAACTGTCTCATTTCCTGTACATTTGCTGCTTAACTTGATTTTCCTACTTAAGATATCTAGGAGATCCAACTCCAAGACACTCAGTTTTCAGATTTGTTTGTTAGGAACTGAGGAGGAACTCAATGTGGGCAGCTTTAGTTTTCAGTTAGGTGTTGCATAAAATTAAAAAGGCTCGGAATGTTCTGGATTTGAACCTCTGGAAGCCAGCAACACTCATGCTGCCTGGCCTGATGCCACCCTATCTGGACCATCTGTACTTCGTGTAGGTCCTCAGGATCGCTAGGAATGAATTCTGTTCTAGGCCGTTTCACTTTCATTTCCACTTCTTACATCACTTACACGTGGTTCAGTACATAAAGGGAAATTTACGCATTCCTTCATAGATTCAAATTATAGCAAAAGGAGAAGCAGAGTATAGGTGTGTGTGTGTGTGTGTGTGTGTGTGTGTGTGTGTGTGTGTTACTGATCTATTTTTAGACTCAAACGCATGCTAGCAATGCAGCATATATGGTGTAGATTATATGTATGCCTAAGGTGAAATCTATTTCCAACATATATTCTACTTAACATTGTTTTTGCTCATTAGAGGATCTACACAAGCCATTCCTGTACCTAACGCAGCCCACCAATGTGACGTCAAGGGGAACTCCAATGTAACTGCAATAGAAAAAGAAAAAACCTAAATGCTGGATTTTATTTACAAAAGCATGAATTTTTATTAACTTACCAAGAACTATTTATGTTTGATCAAACATATCCATATAACAACATTTTTTATCTGAATTCATGAAACCAGACAGCCCAAATTTATTATGCTGTAGAGCAGCAGTTCTCAACCTGTGTGTTGTAACCCCTTTGGGGGTCAAACCATGCTATCACAGGGATCACCTAAGACCATTTGAAAACACATACATTTGCATTATGATTTGCAACAGTAGCAAAATTGAAGTTATGAAGTAGCAACAAAAATATTTTATGGTTGGAAGTCACCACAGCAAGAGGAAATGTATGAAAGGGTCACCGCATTAGGAAGGTTGAGAACCACTGCAGTAGAAGGTCATTTATTTATCAAGGAGAATACGTGCACACCTCCCATAGGAAGTGAGGACACGTGGAGATCATCTGGAGGGATGAGCAGTGGTGATGAGTCCAAGACTGGTCTAAGCATCTGGTGCCTTGTATCCTGTGGGTTTTTGAGGCGCTTCTCTTTTGTTTTCATTATATTGAGAGTCTGGTTTCATACCCCAGGCTTGCCTAGAACTCATGATCATCCTACCTTTGCCTCCTGAGTGCTGAGATTACAGTTGTGTACCACCACACTGCTGGCTTTGGTCTAGACTCATTCCATCAAGCATTTATTAAAACAGTTTCTACGTGGCATGCGTCAGACAACGGGATAGAAAATTTTCTGGTTCCAGAGTTAATAACTCATCTTAAACTTGTGATTATCGTATAGAAAAGTTAGATCCCTAGGGTACAATGGAGATTCTGAGAGGGCAGTGGGGGAGGGGGGCTGTCTAATGATTCTCTGAGAAGCTGATGGAGAGCTGGAGAGCTTGTGTCTGATGATACTAAAGCTAGAAAATAAATTGACTGGGACTTACTAATGGCAGTGAAGCTGGCAAGTATCAATTCATTTGGACATGTGTGCTATTGAGGGGGTGGCAGCCCATTCTGTCCATGTATCAGGGCACTAGAGATACAAGATTGGTTTAAGTTGGTGATAAGCCGCAGTAACATTGAGGTAGACCATGCTTGAAAATGATCCACACTTTGGCTAGCATGCTTTTCCAGTAATAATAATAATGATGATAATAATAATAACAATGAAAATGATCCACACTTTGGCTAGCATGCTTTTCCAGTAATAATAATAATAATGATGATGATAATAACAACAACAATAATAATAGAGGGTAGAAAAGGAGAAAAGATTAGAGAGTAAATGTTGAATACATGGACAAGTGACTGGGTGGAACTATCTATCATTCCCTGAGTAACTGTCATGTGCTAACTGCTATTCAGTTTTTCAGTATCTCATTGAAAGTTTAGCAGGTCTCCCCACTGTTGCAGTGAAGGAAATCTCTGTGAGAGGTGTGGCTAATTCATGACTATCCTCTCAGTAAAAGGCAGAACTGCAAAGCAAATGCATGTTAGTTTTGACTCCCAAGATCACTAGTAAAAAAAAAAAATCATTTTATAAATAATATTCCTTTTTAATGTTTATCTCTCCCGTGCACACGTGCTTGCGTGCGTGCGTGCGTGCGTGTGTGTGTGTGTGTGTGTGTGTGTGTATGTGTGTGTGTGTGCATGTGTATGCACATGTATATGCACATTTTAAACACACCTAGGCGTATGCCAAAGCACACATGTGGAGATCTAAAGATGACTTGCCCGAGTTAATTCTCTTGTTTCCACCATGTGGGTCCCAGGAATTGAACTCAGGTCTTCAGACTTAGTGGTGAACAACTTTACCTGCTGAGTCATCTTGTAGACCCAGAACTGGAACTATTAAAAAACTAACCATTGACCAGTAAATACATTAGATTTTCTAGTTTCCCTATCTTTGGTCTCAGGGGAAGGTTTTGGAAGGAAACATGTTTTAAGGAGACAAAGCCTATGTAAGGCAATGGTAGTTGAATGTGAAGGAGGAAGATTTGCATGTCAGTACAGCCCTGGATTGGAAGACATGGTCAGAACCATTCCCGGCACGCAGCATGAGTTCAGCTCTTAAGAGCAGTTTTGATGCATTAGATGCAATGCACTTTCATTTCCACTGTTTTATCTTGCTTACCAGCTGATGTGATGATTACATGAAGAATGGTCACGGAAATCGCATAATCCCAAACCCATTCTTCTACAATCTGAGCAAAAAGCAATCCACAAACAAAGTAGGTGACTTCTGTTGAGACTAAAAGAACTGCAAACAGAAGAAAGCATGTGACTATTGGTGTTTAGAACATTTGACAATGCTGACATGCAACTAACACAAGATCAGGAAATCTTAATCTGCAAAGAATTATTTTAAATGTATTTTTTTTATTTTGAGGATTTTAGTCTTTAATGCTGTATTTATATCATTTATACTCCTCCCTCTCATGCCTCCTACCTTGTTTCCCCCATTACCCCCAAAATGCATGACCTCTTCTTCTCTAATTGCTATTGTTACATATATATAACAAGTGCCTCTTGAGAGATGAAGAATGAGTCTTTCCCAGGGGGAGCTGCCTGATAGGTTATCCAAGCTCAAGTGGTCACTTGATGGGGGAGGTCCTTCTGTGTATATGTTTGTCGTTTTGGTTGATAAATAAAGTACTGTTGGCCAATAGGGAAGCAAGTTAGGTGGGACTAGGAACTGAGGAGGATTCTGGGAAATGTGTCAAGACGTGGTTTTACGAACTTCCACATAAAAACTTCACAAGAGCTTTAAAAGGGATTTTAGAAGCAAAATAGCAGAGACAAGCACAACTTTTTGTAGCAGCATTTTCTCGGGTGGTCTCTATTTTGCTAGAGACAAGTAGAGACTCGAGCAGCCCCCTTAAGGGAATCTTCCTGACTCAGCATAAGTGGAAAAAAACCGCAGGGTGTGTACCAGCAGCTGGCAGTGGCAGTGACCACATCTCCAAGCCAGCAGCATGCTCCTTGATGGCAGCATAGACCAAGGCAGTGAGAACAGCTCTCAGTGCTGGTGGTAAATGTACCCCCACCATCTTGGAAAGACATCGGCTAAAACAGTCACCACTTTAATTTTAGCAGTGTTGTTTAGCAGATAAAAGACTGCATGGCCACAAAAAGGTAAAGATTTACAATAAAGACAGACTCAGAGGAAGAAAAACCTCTAAAGGTTTACGCTGTGTTTAAAAGTATACATAGGCTTGTGAGGGAAAAGAAACAGGATAAAGTAATTGGAAGAAAGAAAGAAAGAAAGAAAGAAAGAAAGAAAGAAAGAAAGAAAGAAGGAAAGAAAGAGAAGCCGGTGGTGGTGGTGGTGCACGCCAGTAGGATTTGCTGAAGGAAGCAGAGGCAGGCGGATTTCCACAGAGAAACCCTATCTCAGGAAAAAAAAAAAAGGAAGTAAAAGAAATAGAATAATAGAAAGCCACATAAAGATGTAAAATACACAGAGTCTGGATACTACATGCTATATTGTTGTCTTTGATTTGTTTGATTGCTGAGGAAAGAGTTACAACTGCTAAAATACATTTGATTATATGTGCTGCTAAATTAATTCAACTTACAGATTTTTAAAAATGTTTTGACTTCAAAATTTAAGTCTAAGGACAGGCTACTTGGGAAAAGAATTTCTGCTTTTGTTTACACAAAAAATGAAAAGATGTGGATTCCATCCAGACTAATATGGTTTGATCAAGCAAGAACCCCTGAAGCAGTGGCCCAACTTATCCTACATCCAAAGCAGCTGAGATGATGCAGTCATAGATGACTACTGCCAGATTTCTGTGTTTTATCATAATCCCTATGGTATGGGCATCACCCCCAACCAACAGGAAGCAGTTTGGAATGAACAATGCCCAAATTCCCAAATATTGTTTATAAATGTTTGTTTTTGTTTAAATGGGGTTGGTTATAAATGGTAATGATCACGGTAAATCTCTTTTTAAAGGAAAAAGGGAAATAGAATATAGAAATGAATATTTTGGTATGGATTTTCATTTATTGATACAACTTTAAGGTCAATTTTGTGATACATATATTTCTCCTCCTGTTTAGGTATTGTGTTTATACTGATCTTTTAAAACATAACACATAATTAAATACAAATTGTATATAGTAAGGTATAATAGTCAAAACTTACAGTTAGGTTAGTTAGGTTTTCTAGCTAACTAATAATACAGAGATGTATTTGAGATGGATAGATATTCTTCAAACCTACAGAATATGACCTTCTGTAGGTTCTGTAGACCTACAGAAATATGGCATTTAAATGGTTTAGGGTTTTCATGACAGTGAGACACAACTGCTCCTGGCACACCAATTACATCAGAAAGGAAGATGGGCATTGAAGAAACTCGTTATGGAATTTGCTTTCAACATGGCAAGATTATCGATTTGGGCAACAAACTGCTCTTGCCTGGACTGTTTAATAAACTGGACATGCAGGACCTACAGGAAAGTGACCACTGAACTTGCAAAACATGACAGCCCTGGGGGGTTCCTGCTTCATGGAGAAGTCTGTCAGACACACTGTGGCCTATAGGCTGAAGATGGATGCCCCAACATTACAGAGGAACTTCAGGTGACTATCCAGGTAGCAAGATGTCTCTGTCAGTTCTAGAGTTCATATATTATCCTTCTGTGGTCTTTGATGGAGTTGAAGACAGATAGTTATGGTTACAGTTTTCTTTAGTTATTATAAAAGGTAAGTTACATATAAAACCTTAGACTCACAAAAATAGGATAGATGATAGAATATTTTCTTTAAATCTTGCTGAATGCTAATAAACTAAATATTATAACCATGATTCTTACTTGATAACTGTTTTGTTATATATTTTACTATGTTAATGGTAAAACCCTTATTTTTATTTAGACAGAAAAGAGGAGATAATGGGGGAGGACCTTCTGTGTATTTGTACATCTTATTCATTGATAAAGTACTGTTGGCCAATAGGGAAGCAAATTAGGTGGGACTAGAAGTCGAGCAGGATTCTGGGAGATGGAGTAGAGAAGTCTTAGGATCCAGGCAGGAAGTGACATAACAGGCAGACTCAGAATATAAGCAGGGACAAGCAGGAAATCACTCTTTTCCTCCTCTCTTCTCTGTGGGACCATCATGTGATCCTGGCAAGACAAGACGCCTGCTACCACCGGCATCCTTGATAAGTCTTTATAAAATATATAGATTAGTAGTTATGGTTGATAATTAAGACTGATCTATGAGATAAGAAATCCTAGTCATTGGCCAGCAGCATTGTACCTAATATAAGTCTCTGTTATTTTAGGCTCGGGTGGCATGGAGGAAAGACTTATTCTTACAGTCACTCCTACATACATGAACATATGTGCAAAAAGTTTTTGGTAGAAAGCTTCCACATGTTCTCTTATCCAGCTTCAAGTATGGATAAGAGCATCTGACATTTTATATCTTCATTATCTTAAATTTAAAAAATAACAAAATGTAATTTTTGTGTCACAGTTTTGTAGTTAAAATTGAAACGAAGTTACAACACAGTCCATGCATGAATGTAAATCTAATTTTAAGAAATATTAAATATTAATGAAATAATTCAGTTCTGAGTTTTTAGAAATAAAAGATGAATGGGTTTAGTCAGTGGTGACTTTCTTTTCTTTTGGTACACACAGTGCTTAACTTGGAAATAAGTTCCTTTGTGCTTGTGGAATCATTTGGTATGTTCAGATAGACATCTGAGAAGCAAGATTTATCACCATAGGTGAAATAAACCCTCATCAATGACAGATTGGAAATGCTTCTAAAGCCACTGGCTGTCACATAGGAGTTTCCCTGAATGAGTATAAAGAGATGGTCATTGACAGTTGCTTTGGACATGTGAAGGGACAGCGTTTTGCCTTTTTGGTGGCGCTTTTTTTTTGTTTTGTTTTTAGGTTAAATTGTATATATTTTTTTCCTTGTTCAATTTATTTTTTCAGATTTTTTTATTTGAATTAGAAACAAGATTGTTTTATATGACAATCCCAGTTCCCTTCTCCCATCTGTCCTCCCCTACCACTGCCCCCCCTACTAAAACCCTACCTATCACATATCCTTTCTGCTCCCCCTAAATGGTGAAGCCTTTCATAGGGTGTCATCAGAGTCTATTGTATCCTTTGGGATAGGGCCTGGGCCCACCCCCGTGTGTCTTGGCCTCTATGTGTAATGGGCTCTCTATGTGGAATGGACTCCCAAAGTCCACACGTATGCTAGGGATAAGTACTGAACTACTATAGGAGGTCCTGTAGATTCCCGAGGTTTCCTCAATGAAATCCATGTTCCTGGGGTCTGCATCAGTCCCATGCTGGTATCCCAGCTATCAGTCTGGAGAGCAAGAGTTCCCCGAAGTTCAGGTCAGGTGTTTCTGTGGGTTTCACCAGCCTGGTCTTGATCCCTTTGCTCTTCACTCATCCTTCTCTGCATCTGGATTCCAGTTCAGTTCAGTGATAAGTTGTGGGTGTCTGCTTCTACTTCCACCAGCTGCTGGATGAGGGCTATGTAGGGGAAGCTGTAGCCACGCCTACTTAGGGGCTGGCTACAGGTGTGCCTGACCACGCTTGTGAGGGCG